AACCGGCAGATTACACTTTTATCTAGATTTAACAGATTACACTGCAACGCGAGTATAATATAAGGTTTTGATTGTACTTTATTGTACACTTTGTTGTACTCGTGTTTTGTTTAAATGAATAAATGAAATAATTAAAAAGGGAAGAAAAAAATAGAAATACACATCTAAATTAAACCAATGAACAAAAAACAAAAAATCATAAATTAAGTAATCTGGGAAATATGCTTTAAAGACTGGGCAAAATAGGGATGCTGGGCATTTCTTGCGGACCTCCTTCCCTGATCTTTGAACACGGTTGCAGTTAGTTTGCAATGTGACAATGTCCTTCCAGATGTTTTGTTTTTCCTTATTTGTACGGTGTCCTTTAAATCTGTTAAAAATAAAATCTTTGTTTCCCTCTATCTCCTCTAAAAGGACATTCATTTTATCTTTTTGAAAGGTCTCTTTTCTTGTTTTTTTGTTTTTGTTCAGCCATTTTGTCAGCCTGAATAGGTGCTTTATATCCATATAGACTTGTCTTGATTTCTAATCCACAACAAATGACGATTATTAGGTTAAACGTTCAGAATACGATTCCATATAAGTTTATATTTCAGCACTTCGCGAATGGACAGCGACGCTTAGGTAGCACGTAGAACGCGTTCTCGCGCGTTCATGTTAAGTGCATTTTTGGGAAACGCGCGTGGAATTGCGGCGAGCGTTCGTAACCTTGCACGAAGAGAGCGCTCTTAAGAGCTAAGATACATCGTTATCGGGAAACCCGGCCGTGGTCCAAAAAGGCATAGGTCTCCACTGTCCTTTGCCCACTCTTTGATTTAACCTTTACTGGTACGATAGCGAGCTTAAAATCTCTCTGAGTTGCAGGTGGGTGGTGATGGCGCAGTGGATAAGACACATGCCTTTGGTGTGAGAGACCCGGGTTCGAATCCACTGTGAGACACCAATGTGTCCCTGAGCAAGACACTTAACCCCTAGTTGCTCCAGAGGCGTGTGACCTCTGACATATATAGCAATTGTAAGTCGCTTTGGATAAAAGCGTCAGATAAATGTAAATGTGAGTTGCTCTTACCTTTCTCTACATCTGCTCTCCTGTCCTTGTGGTGGATCTGAACCATACTAGGGTGCCTTGAGCCACATGTTTTGCAAGAGAGACGTTTCCTGCACTCCTTACTAGGAAATCAATCTTCTCACTTAGAGCTCTCTTCTCCTGCAGAGTACAAAACTCCAGCATGTGTCCACCTTGGCAGAACAGGCAAGTCCTTTCAGGTAAATGTCCATCTTTAACCTTATGTTCTATTAGTGTCTTTTCAACTCTAGTAGCAGCAGTGGCAAAGCAACTTCCCTTAGCCCCTGAGCGAAGTGATCTTGTCCTGCTGGCTTCTTTATTTGCCACCAACACTGGTACGTCCTGTAGATTTCCAAACACAGGATCGGTCATGATCTTCACTTTACGCTCCATAAAAGTCACAATATCAACATAGCTCTCCGTCCATCATGTGTTTCCTGGATGCCACATGACCAGTGTTGAGCATGTTACTTAAAAAAAGTAATTAGTTATAGTTACTAGTTACTTCTCACAAATAGTAACTGATTTAGTAACTGAGTTTCATCATTATAAAAGTAACTAATTACCAGAGAAAGTAACTATTGCATTACTTAAAAAAAAAATTCAAATAGGCCTATGTCAAATAATTTGGATGCCCCCAGTATTAAATATGTTAAATGAATGAAATGGACACTTAATAGTGTAGATTAGTGTTCAATGTTTTATAATAATAATTTATTCTATTTTAATGTTGCTGTGGGACAATGTGAGAGACGCCTATTAAATTTAATACATTATTCTAAATATTAGCATTACTATAGTAGAACAATAAAACATCATGGTTTATACTTAATATCGCACAGTATTTTTAAAGTTTAAAAATAAATTATGCTTCTTAAGAAATGTACCAAAAATGAATAAATAATAATAAAAAAATATACATACTCTTTGTGCATATTAAAATGATAAAACTGTTACACAACTTCACAACTAGTAGACATACTGTAGCCTAAGTATTTTCTTCCTAACAAAAGTAAACAGTTTAACAAGTGCTCTCTCAATATAATACTGAAAAATTTACCAAAAAAAAAAAATAATACTAAAATATAATATTTTGGGGGTTTATTTTTATAACCTATAGCGAACGTCATCATCAGAGGTTATTTAAGCCAAATTCTAGACATGTTTGCCGCACGTGTTTACAACCGGTCAAACAAAGATGTTTTCTGTGTTATAGATTTTATTTGTATAACCATGTAAATTAATTAACGTTGCAGATGATACCAATAGGCTATAGATAATGCTGTCTATTAGGTCTCTCTTGCGCAACTGTTGAGCGCGCTCTCGGACACATTCGGTCTCTCTCGTGCATTGAGCGCGCTCGCGCCGTTCGCTTCGCTTTTGTCCACCCCGGCGCCTCATAAACACACACACACACACCAGAGAAAAAAACTTTGCAGGTCCTATGGCGGAGAGAGAGCCTACTCGGATGAAAGCCGCTTCAGTGAGTTCAATTATAGTAACGCCACATTTTTTTTTTGTCAGTAACGGTAACTGCGTTGTAACGGGGGAAACAGTAATTTGTTTGATTACTCGTTACTGAAAAAGATAACGCCGTTTATTTATAACGCCGTTATTCCCATCACTGCACATGACTCTGTTCGCCACTTATCTCTCAGTTTGTAGGGTATTCTTTTAATCACAGTGATCATAATGGCAGGTGTATTCAATTCACACAAACTATGAACCTCATCCATGGCATTGCAACATCCACGCAAAAACAGACTGTATGCATGTAAAGCCTTTCCATCTTCTGGCTTAATCACTGGCCACGAAGAGACCCTATCCAAATAGGCAGATGCTATCATATGCTCGTTTCCAAAGTGTTCATGCAGTAAAGTCTTTACCTTTGCATAGCCTGAGCCATCAGTCAAATGTTGACAGCTCCTGACAAGTTGTTGTGGTTGCCCCCTGGTGTACTGTTCCAGAAAATGCAGGCCATCTTCAGCATTATCAGTCTTTTCCTCAATTACTTGTTCAAAAGACCACATGAAAGCATGGTACTGTAGAGGGTCGCCATCAAATATTTGGATGTTTCTTTTAGGCAGCAATAAAAGACATTGCTGATGCACTAGCATTGATGTTATCTCATTCTGTTTTTTCATTATAGACAACATGTGGTTCTGGTCACTGTTAGTATTCGTGGAAAAGGACGAATGGACATCTCCATGATGAGACACTGGAGGCGGTGTTGTATTTCTTGGAATTGTGCTCTGTCTCATAAGCTCTGAGGGCCTCTGCTGGAGATGGATGGTATTGCGGGCACCTTTCGGTGTTTGCCTTCCAAGCTGTAAATCCACAATTTCCATTGCTGGTTTTCCCTTTTCATCTGCATCAATGTTAAGAGCTTTTCATCCCCTTTTTTTAAAATATGACTCCATGCCATTAGATTGGTGAGAAACAGCACTCCGCACACCAGATCCAGAGGTCCTTAAAACATTCAATTTAGCCACTGATCCAGCTATATCAGCTTTAAGCTGAAGTTGTTCCTTTTGTTGTCAAGAGAATGTTTTTCCTTCAGCAAACTTTGACTGGCAAGCAGAGCAGCCATTTCAGCCTCTGCTCTGAGACGTGCAGATGAAGTGGTGGAAACATTTGATTTTGAACCTTGTTTTCTACTGCTTAGGTTTGATGTACTGTCACATAATATGTCATCCTGGTCATCGTGTTGGGAAGATGGATGCCATTGTCCCCTTTTTACATCATCATGAATCCCAATTTCATCCCCTAAAAGAACTTCCTGGTCACACTCAACGTTATGAGTTAGTTCTGACAAGGCCTGTTGGTTTCTGAAATCCACACTTTGGCATCCCTTGGGTGTATTCAGTGATGCTTGTGAACCATTCATTTTGTCTCTCCTGTTCATCAGGAGGGATTAAAGGCATCAAATATGTGTGCAATGCAGAGGCTACTGCTAGTGATGTTAGGTCTGACACCGACGCTCCGAAGCTTGCTTCAAACTCGAACGGTCCTTGCAATGAACCACTGCTTCTGAGCTTGTATCATTACGTCACTAGTCACGTGATAATGACGTCTGAAGCAAACACACTGCTTCACTCCTGCAGTGAACCACCTGACTGCTTTGACAGCCCAATCCAGTGTTGACAGGTTTGAAACCTGGCGGCTGTATTTCTTATAAAAGTGAAGCCAAACCATGGCAACACCGTGGGTTGTAGTAGTCGGTGTTTGGATTGGCGTTATTGTTGAGGAGAGTGGATTTTGTTATTTTATTATTAATAGAACATAAAAACATGCATCAAAGACAGAAACTTAAAAAACCCTCTGCTACATTATACAAGTACAACCAGTTACACAAGCACATCCTTTTCAACATACAAAAATATCAGTCAAACAAGATAAAGCTTCCACACATGATACTGCCCTGCTTAAAAAATATAGAAACCATTACAGAAATTCTATTGGATGTAATGGTTTTCATGGGAATTTTATTGGTTGTAATGGGAATTATAGTGGTCTCTGTGGGTCTCTACTGATATGTGTTGGGTTCTATTGGTGGGGGCATTAAATCCTAATGGAATATGTCCCAAACACACTACAAAAAAGAATTCTGTAGTGGTTTAAATGGTAAAAGCCAATGGTTCCTATTGGTATTTTAATAGAAACCATTAGAATTTCTGTGATGGTTTCCAACTTTTTTTAAGCTGATCTTCTGTCCTTGTCTAAAGAAATAATTACACACACTGATCATGCTTAATGTTTTATTATCAAGGTGAACACATGAAATTCATCAGTATCTGTAAAATTCACCTACATAAATGAGTTTCACAGCACGACACAATTGTATCAGAAAGCAATAATGCTTCGAAACGCTTCATTTGGCCATCACTAGCTACTGCTCCTCACACACTGAAGTTCAATTTCAGTGAAGCTGCAATCACATCATCAGTGAAGCTCCTCCCACTGCAATCACATCATCAGTGAAGCTCCTCCCACTGCAATCACATCATCAGTGAAGCTCCTCCCACTGCAATCACATCATCAGTGAAGCTCCTCCTACTGTAATTCTCCTATAAATGCTGTAAATTCCCATCAGCTACAAGTGAAGACGAGCATGAAAGCATCAGAGCATCAGGAAGAGCTGAAATCTGCCAAGACTGAGTTTATTAAAGAGGACAGTGAGAACATGAGTGATCCAGAACCCTGCAGAATGAAACACACTGAAGATCCTGAAGAACAAAGAGGTTGGTGTTTAATCTTCAAGCAGTTTTAGATTTAGATTTGTTGTAATAAGAAAAATCTTTACAACTGTTGAATAATCTAGCTGTAGCAACACATAATAAGGGGCACTTTCTATTAACTGGGTAAAAAAAATCTATGTTAGATAATTGTGTAGTTGATCAAACATATGCAGTTGTTCTCCTCATAGAAACATGGGATTTGTGCCTATAGTATTTTTAAAATAATAATTGTGAGATCAATGTACCTCATTCATGTAAAGTTGCAGGGATGTATACTTAACAAAAATGCATCAAAATCAGGATTTTTTTAAGTAGAAATTGCCTAATGTCAACTAGGTTCACTTTTATGTCCTTCAATTTTCTCTTCTTTTTTTTGGAGTTACTGAAAATTAATCGTGTTTACCTTTATTTCAGATTTGATTGAAGAAAACGAGGAGAATGAAAAATTGAGTAAAGTTGAGGAGAAAAATAATGTCAAAACTGGAGAAAAACCTTTGAGTTACTTTCAAACCAAACAGAAAGATTTAAAGAAAAGAAGAGCCAAGAAATTTTTCACCTGCACTCAGTGTGGAAACAGTTACACACCCAAACAACGTCTTGAGCGTCACATGATGATCCACACTGGAGAGAAGCCGCTCTCATGTGATCAGTGCGGGAAGAGTTTCACACAAAGAGGAAGACTAAAGGAACACAACAGAGTTCATACAGGCGAGAAACCTTACAAGTGTTCACACTGTGACAAGAGATTCAATCACTCATCATCTCTGAAAAAACATGAGAGGATCCACACTGGAGAGAAGCTGCACACGTGTGATCAATGTGGAAAGAGTTTCACAGATAAAGCATATCTTACGGGTCACATGAGAGTTCACACTGGAGAGAGACCGTTCATTTGTGATCAGTGTGGAAAGAGCTTCACTAAACCAGGACACCTTAAGGAACACATAAACATCCACACTGGAGAAAGGCTGTACACATGTGATCAATGTGGCAAAACTTTTCTCTATGCATCACACCTGAAGAGACACCTGAAATGTCATATGAAGGAGAAGCCGCATTCATGTTCTGTGTGTGGGAAGAGTTTTTCACTGCTGGAATATTTACATGTACATGAGAAAACTCACTCTGGTGTGAGAGAGTACATGTGCTTTGAGTGTGAGAAGACTTTTACTACAGCAAACAGTTTAAAACTGCACCAGATTATTCACACTGGAGAAAAGCCGTATCCCTGCACTGCATGTGGGAAGCGTTTCAATCATCCATCTTCTCTACGCAAACATACCAAACATCACTGTAAGTAGATCCTCTTCAGATCCAGCACTTTCAGGTATGATGCCGTATCTTCGCCAAATGTGACACAATAATGCATTAAGCAATAAAATATAATCTGGATAAATCTGTCCTAACCTGCCATAACATCCGACATGAGAAAGAAACTTTATCGGTGTGAATAAAGTTCATCTTTAAAAGCAGCAGAATCAACTCGGGGATTCAGATCAACTCAAAGTTCCTCCCAAAGAACAATGCCAAACGCTTTATTCTTGTATATCATTTTGCTTCTTCATGATATAAATTATTTTGTTGTGCATACTTATGAGATTCATATTATGGTCACTTGTCTCATAATCCATATGTATCTCATGTATTGTGCTTACTCTTTCAGGAAGGAAAGTAAAAGCGTAATCGTTCTTGTTCAGGAAGCTGAAGAAGAGGCTGTAACACACATTTATTTTTTATTTTGTTTTTCATTGTTGTTTTTATAATAATTATTATTATTCCACTTATGATTTATTTAGAAAACCCAGATGCAAAATTTAATATCACACCATCATAACTGTCATAATATCTGAAATCCATGAAGTATCATGTTTGCTTTTTGGGTTCTCTGTTTTAAATTTCTCAATGCTTTTAATTGCCTAATAAACTATACTTGACTCCACACACGACTGAGATAGAATGAGACGGCTGTTTGTCTACATTAGTAACCCTTATTTGTGTTTGCTGTGTGGTTGTGTTTTGATGTGTTGTCGTGTTAAAGCAGCACTAAGTAGGAATTCCGTTTTTGTCAAACAGCGACCCCTAGAGTCGCTGTGGAGTACTTGTACTGTCGTGAATAGCACTCACGCAGAGATGGCTCGGCCGGATCCCCTCCCCCTGTACACCGGTACCTGTTCAGTAGGATGGACGCTGTAACGAGTGGAAATAAGGTATGGCCCCTTTAAGAGCTGCGCGCGCCCAACACCACATGTATACGGCGCCGAGTTATTTCTGTTTGATGCTCATTTTATCAGAATTTGATCAGATCTGTTTTTTGCCGTAAAGCAATTCGTTACCTCGCGAGACCTGATATCACACGATACTTCCTAACACTGAGGCCCGGTGTCGGCCCGCCGGCCCAAAGTTGCACACTGTAAAAAATGATCATGATTTTAACGGTAAAAAGACTGTAAAAATGCTACAGTGAAAAACTGTTAATTGGTTAACAGAAAGTTTCCGTACTATATACGGTTAATAACTGTGATAGATCTAATGGTACATTTTACTGTAAAATACTGTTAAATTTAAAAGTTTTTGAAAGTGAAAAAGAACAACTCATTGTATAATTTACAGTGAAAATACCGTAAATTGACATTCCCACAATTCCCTGCGTGACACTTCACATTTGATGTATTTTTGTTGAAATAACTGTTTCCTTATAGTTTTCTTAATTTTTTTTCTGATCAGTTATGTACATTAGAGTTTTATGTTACATTTAATGTTGTTAAATTAAAGTTTATTCATTTTAAAAATTTCACGTGTGTTACCATGATGGTGATTAATGTTTGTGTGAATGACACTGTGCAGCTTCTATATATTAATATTAACCTTCTCGTGAAAGAGCTGCTTGTGATGAGCTTTGATTAATCATGTGACTCTCATCACTGCTGTGATTGGTGGTTGTCATTGTATTACAATGGTACAAAATAGATATTAATACTTCAATAGATCGGGAAATTAACGTAATATCAGATAATGAAATATGGTTTATTACTGTACAATTTAAGTTAAGTCTGTAAATCCAATAACGTTGCTACCGTATTTTTGACGGTAAAGTACTGGCAACCACAGCTGCCGGTTTTTTACCGTAAAAATTACGGTTTTATTTTTTACAGTGCAAGGGTGATTTTGCGGCTCACAGGCACCAGGGGGGTGCGAGACGACCACCATTCAACACGAAATCAGTAATATAAACATTACAATGACTCCAAAGCTGTTCGGTTAAGGTAAAAAAGTTACTTAGTTCACCTTTAACCTGTACAGGCTGGATAGCTTCAGCTTATGGGGATATGAGGATTGAACAACTCAGATCTAGGAAACACAAATAATTAGTTCACCTTTTGAGTCCTCGGGTTTGAGTTGTTTGTTCTTTTCGTCCACTAATGTTTTTTAACGTTGGTCCGTGCCAGTTTGCGAACGTGCCTATTATATCCCATATCTGACCATTTCCATAACATTTCCATTCGCCCATGCATTGCCTTTTATCATCAGACCTGACACCTTGCAACTCAGACATTAGAAATTTTTAACTAAAATATAAACCCATATTGGATCATGATACCATGAGTGTCTTTATACATATACAGTTTTAAAATATTTGTTCTGGTGTTTTTGCCTTTTATTAGGATAGGCCTCAGACCAGGACTCGACTCGAAGCACAACGACGCTACATGTACTTGCACTTGCCCAAGAGGCTATCGGGGCTAAATACACATTAGCTATATTTTGTACAAAATACTATTGTATACTATAATGTATTTTGAAAGTATACTTTCAATGGATTGCTACAATAATTTCCAGCACACAGTTAAAATATACCTAAAATATATTTTTAATAAAGTGCAAATGAATACACTTTTAAAAAAATAAACAGAATTTTCACTTCAAGGATATTTTTCTACAATTTGTGTTAGTATATTTGCAATGTACTATTGAAAAAGGGAATATATTTACAATATTATATACCATAAAGTACTAGGGGGCAGTCTTTAAGAAGAATATGTAGCACATTAATTAGATCGGCAATAGATTATGGTAGTCTGATTATATACTGCTCTGCATTACATGGCTCAAAAAGATCGAGGCATTTCAAAGTCAAGCTCTAAGGATCAGCGGTGGAGCATTTAAAACATCTCCAGTATCATCTATTCAAGTAGAGATGGGAGAAATGCTACTAGAAGTTAAAAAGGTACTGGAAAACTGTTGGGAATATGTCTGTCTAAATAGTTTTGGTTGGGTAGCAAATAAGGAAGCACAGGAAACTAGTCTGGAGCAACCCGGTCACACTAAATGCGTCTCTATAGCACACATTGTGTTTATCGTGCAATTTATACACGAAAATTAGTTTTTACGTGCATAATACGAATTACTGTTTCCTCCGTTACAATGCCGTTACCGTTACTGACAATAAAATGCGGCGTACTATAATTTACGCGTTTTTCATCCGAGTAGGCTCTCTCTCCACCATAGGACCTGCAAAGTTTTTTTCTCTGGTGTGTGTGTTTTTATGAGGCGCCGGACTGGACTAAAGCGAGGCGAACGCGAGGGTATCCGAGAGCGCGCTCGACAGTGTATATAGAGGGTTTTCACGACGCGTCATCAATCCGGAAGTCGGCCATTTTGGAGGCACTGAACGAAAACAATGCCACTGAACTGAACAGACTCGCAAATTTGGCTGATTATTGCTGCTGAAAAATAGTCGAGTTTTGGTCTGTACTAATCGGTCGCACCGGGAAAAAACATTTCGAGTCCTCAGATTGTCAACAGTTAAAGAGAAGAGTGCAAAAAACCAACATGACATCATGACTTTGCGTAAACATACACTCCACTTTCAAGTCAAGTGGCGTGTTATCTATACGCATTTTGAGCTATCCGCGTGTGTGTCCACGCCGAAACGAACCGTCATCTTTTGCGTGTATGTGTACGCCGTTAAATGTCCGAGTGATTCCGCGTGTATGTACACGCCG